TGTCTTTTTCAAACTGGGCTGCTGCATTCTTAGGGTAAATTCCTAGAAGTGGAATTCCTGGGTCAAATGGCATTTCTATTTTGAGCTTTTTGAGGAACGTCCATACTGCTTTCCACAATGGTTGAACTAATTTGCATTCCCACCAGCAGTGTAGGAGGGTTCCCCTTTCTCCGCAACCTTGCCAACATTTTTTGTTGTCTTTTGGATGGTGGCGATCCTTACTGGTGTGAGGTGATATCTCATTGTGGTTTTAATTTGCATTTCTCTGATGACAAGCAATGTGGAGCATCTTTTCATGTGTCTGTTGGCCATCTGAATTTCTTCTTTGGAGAACTGTCTGTTCAGCTCCTCTTCCCATTTTTTAATTGGATTATTTACTTTTTGTTTGTTGAGGTGCGTGAGCTCTTTATATATTTTGATGTCAACCCTTTATCGGATCTGTCATTTATGAATATATTCTCCCATAATGTAGGGTGCCTTTTTGTTTTATTGATGGTGTCCTTTGCTGTACAGAAGCTTTTCAGCTTGATATAGTCCCACTTGTTCATTTTTGCTTTTGTTTCCCTTGCAGGGGAGATATGTTCATGAAGAAGTCGCTCATGTTTATGTCCATGAGATTATTGCCTATATTTTTTTCTAAGAGTTTTATGGTTTCATGACTTACATTCAGGTCTTTGATCCATTTCTAATTTACTTTTGTGTATGGAGTTAGACAGCGATTCAGTTTCATTCTCTTACATGTAGCGGTCCAGTTTTGCCAGCACCCATCCTTACCTCTTAACAGTGGTTTTATATGTTATGGCAATGGGTCCTAAACTGATCCTTTTTGGATTTATTTCCTTCCTACTCAAAATGTTTCCCTGAAGACTTAACTGGAGGTAAGTTGTAGAAATTGAAGTTACTTCATGACAATGGAAAAGGGGTGACTGTTCTTTGTGCTAGCAGTTCTTAAGTATGACCATCACGTGTGTGTATGTTATTAACAATAATAATAATAATCGCTAGCAAATTGAAAGTGTGGTTAAAAGGTAGAGAGTATATGCTTACCAGCATTGCAGTTGTAGGCCCTTTGAAATGTTTGTTTAGTTACTTATTTTTCTGAGATCTAGGGTTTTAAAATAGCTGGTTCTAAAATATATACAAATGCATAACAGATTGTTGAAACATATTTCTTCCAGAAATGGGGAACACTACTCCAAAAGATTTTTTTTGAATAATATGGACATCTGTCATTCAAAAAATTACTTTCTATAATGTTATCCCAGCTAACATAATACAGCCTCTCAAATGACTCTAGTGAACAAGCTACCTATTTATGAAACATTTATTTTTTTGCCTTAACTGTCCTTCGAGAATCAGCTCAAATGTTTCCTCTTTTACTGAGTTTTCCTTGATCATTTCCAGCCTGAAGGGTTATCTTTCATGGCACTTACCATATTTGCCTTGTTATAATAAATATCAACAAAAATAAAAACTTGTGCACACATCCTGTATCTCCACTATTAGGCTATAAGTTTCGTAGGGCAATAATTGTATCTTATCCATCTTTTTATCCCCACATCCCCTTAGCAAATTGTTTTGTAAGTAGTATCTGCTTCATATTATTGAGTAGGAGGTGATAAAAATACAAGGAGTATTGAGTCCAAAAGAATAGAATAAGAATAAAAAATTATTGACCTTGCTTGGTCTAAGTCTCACACAGTCATCAAATTTCTTTGTTTCAGATGTTCCATCCCATTCTAGTGATGTTCTAATTTTTACATTCATAGCTGAAGATAAGGATTTGGGAATACTCAGTGGTAATTCTCCTGAAAGAAAATAAATATGGTCCAATTCTTATGAGTGTTATATTGTTTTAGAAAGCAAATATTGCTCAGCAATAGTACCCAGAACACTGAAAGGACCTGAGCAGTAATCTAGTTAATTCACACTTTATTTTACACTTGCTGAACTGTACTCACCAGCTTCCTCTATGACAATAAAAGATTCAGGTGTCCGTTCAGGAAGGGGAGGGGGGATTTCATCATCTATCCTTGGAGAAGTTGCTATCCAAAATGTCAGAAATGAAAGCACAATTTTTAATTAGAAAAATCCAAAGAAAATTCTTATATTCTAATCTTGATATAAATTACATCAAGAATTATTACAGAATTTAAGCTGATGTCTGTTCACTCAAGGAAAAGGCAAAATAAATTCTCTTCAGTTGCAAACCAGGAGGTTTGTGTTGCTTCTTCAAAATTTTTTACTTTCTTTTAAAAGCCCAGAAATATCGAGTATCAGGTAACATAATATAAAACATACTGATTTAGGGAGTGTTAGACTCTTCTACACAACTCTTGTTTTACATAGAATATACAACAAAGCATACACTTTGACATGCCAAAGATTCAATTACAGAGTATGTTAAATCATAAAGATTTTAGTGTCTCTTCTTCAGTCTATTAGAATAAAGAATATGGATGTTTTTCCTTTTTACAAAACAATGGCATAATACAGCTTTTTACATTTCCCATAGACACTCATTTTTTTTGGAAAAATGCAAATGCTATTATAAGAAATAGCCACCAGATGGCACACATGTCAAATGTTGCTACAATTCCTGAAGATAGGGATTTGTTTCTTAATGATGTTGATGCTCAGAGAAGTTTAAGGTATTATGAATAGCTAGAAAAATAAAATTTCTTTAAATTGAAAAACAAGATCAAAGCATATAAAATAACCAAAGAAGGAACAAGATCCAGATAAAATATTTTTGTAACAAAAGCTACACAACTCCGTATGTGTTTAAGAAACTGTGCAATAAATAATGTTATAGAGCAAAAGCTTTCTCTACTTTCTATTCAGATAGGATGTTCTTTATACGTTTCTAATAATATACCTTAGAGAGTTAAACTTACTCTTTGCTTTCCTTCGTCTTCCAAATCAAACTATTGTAATCATCTCTAACAGGTTATTTACTTCTACTTTCCAACCATTCAGTAAAACAATACAATATGCACAATAAGCAAAAACCCAGAATTATAAAGGTAATAAAGTATGAAAATAAAGGCATATATAAGATTGAATTTCCACATAGAATACTGAACACATATTCTATTCTATGTTGTTATGAAAGGACAGGAGGAAATCAGGTCCTCCTCTTCCAACTCCTGCAGAAAGAGAATCCAAATCCTAGCAATGTGTTCAACTCAGTATAGCCACATGATTATACAGTAAAAATTCTGAGTGACCATGTAATGCTGTTGATCAAAGCTGTTCTGCTGTTCTCTTGTGAGTTCATTCTGTATTTTATGGGTAAATTGTGGACCTTTGATATACATTTTTAGGAATGAGGAAGCACTACTGTTGGCATAGATCCTGCACCAGATCTGATTGCCTCCACTGTTGCCTGTTTTATGGAATATTACATTTGTTATTGCAGTTTCTCAACTTATCACATCATTAAAATACCCCTGGAATCTATTTCTTTGAAGAAGAGAAGAAAGAAGGAAGAGGAAGGAACAGAGAAGAAGGGGGAGGATGAGAAGAACCCAAATCTGTAGAAACAATGGGAAACCTAAAATGGCAGATAAGTTTTTAAAAATAACTTACCGACTACTGCTGTCTCCTGGTTCAGTGGTGTGACAGAACTGGTCAGAGAATTCAGTGCTAAAGAATCATGTGAATTGTTGTAAGAAAAGAGGCTTGTGGAGGATGTTGGTAATGAAGAACAAGGGGAATCAGTTCTATCTTGCTTCTCCAGTAAGTTAAGAGACATCTTTGAACCAGTGCTACTTGGACACAATGATGAAAAATAAGGATCTGATACAGACATGGAAGAATCTACATTAAAAGCACTGGAGTCACGCTGCTTTGCATTAGAGGCATTACATATTTGGTGCTTAGAGTCATACAGCAGTGAATGATTCAGTTCTGCTGAAGAGACGTGCATCACTTTTAGAGCCTGCTCAAGACAAGAGTTGTATGGTTGAGATTCCAAATAAGAAAAATTCTCCTTTATGTCCAGCTCCTTGGTGTCTCTCTGTTGTATCAATTCAAAGGGGGTTGATTTGGTCCGCGTTATTGGTCTCTTTGAATTAAAGTATCTTCCTGCTGCATTTACAGGTTTAGAATCAGGACATGCTCCAAACAAAATGGAGCTCAAATCCAAACTCTGATGCTTGTGAAGAGGCTCCCCAGCTATTGGAAATAACTTTGTCTCCCATTGCTTGTTAGTGTCAGCATTTTTGTTACAACCACAGTTTAGCTCCAAAAAGTCTAAAGAAGTGCTCTGTTTAGCAGGGTGTAAAACTAACTTCTCCTTTTTACTTATTTCAGAAGTCCTCAGGTCACAGGAAGAAGCTTCTGAATTTTTCATCCTTATCCTTTGTTTGCTCTGTGGGTTTATCGTTTTTGTTTCTTTTATGCTGCTGAAACAAAAAGGAAGTAATGATGATACCATACCCCAAAAAGACTTCTTCCCATATCCTCTTCACAGTATTAAAATGAATTATAAGCATGAGATTTGCCCCCCAGACATAATTAGATAACAATTAGATGTTGTAAGTCCAGGGAGAGGAAATCCCGGGGCAAAATACCTATAAAAATCGAAATCAGTCAAAGGGAGAAATAAAGTTTAAAACCCGTTTATTGCTTACAAACTGCAGTCCTGCCCATCTCTCTCTCCTGCTCCAGCAGCAGCAAAACCGGCCCTCCCCTCACCTCAAGGATACAGATAAGCCCTCCTTGCCCAGGTAATTACCCATTGATACAGAGATGAACTTCTCCACCCCTGAGGAATGATGCAAATGCACTAAAGCCATACTTCTTCCCACCTCTAAATGCCTACTGATATGCAGATGTACTAAAGCCAGGTGAGATATTCTGGAAATATTACAATTTTACCCACAGATGTGTAAAATACTACTCACCTTTTTGATGAATTAGGAGAATAAGAGTCTGCTTCTAGGGTAGGATTTTGGTCAGGAACTGAATACTTTCCTTCAATCTTCAAGAGAAATAGGTAGGAGATGGCTTTTTCAGTGAAGCAATGGCAATGAGATATTTTAACATCCATAAGGCTGAGAAGTTATTTTCCAGAAAACATAGGTATTTTAAATAATTCATGAAAAGACATTGGTTTTCAAAATTTTGGACCCAACTAGAATTTGTTCACATAGTGATATCAAAAGGATCAGAATAAAGGATTTAATGGTGTTAGAGAGACTAGAAAGGGTTTACTTAAAACCTCACCTTTTCAAATGTAGGAATTTTAGAATGTTCTTGAGGTAACTTTATTCTCAAAAACATACTACCTTCAGAAATTGCATCATCTCAACCCTTAATGTAAATAGACGCTTATTAGAGCCCATACTTATCTTGTTCTACCTTTCTCTTCCTCATTATGCTCCAAGTAGACTGGTTTACTTGCCATTTCTTATGCATATCAAACTCGTTTTCAATTCAAGGCTTTTGTACTTACTAAACCCTCTGACTGAAATACTCTTGCTCCAGATTTTCCATGGATGGCTCCTTCTCTATCTAAATGTCATCTGCATAAGGAAACTTTTCCTCACCACTCAACCTAAAATCATACTGCCACATACATGCGCAGCCACCTCAATCTTTATTTCCTTCATAACAATTATCATATTATGATATTTGTTTCTGTAGCTCATGGAATCTAAGATACCATCAATTGTAAAATATATCCTGATAACTAAGATGTTTAAATGTTTAAAAAAAAAAACTTGTTAGCAATTGTAAGATTTCTCTTCTTATGGATTTAATTATTATGAACTTAATTTTCAAAAAGATATGTTGAAATCTAACCCCTGATATCTGTGAATGTGACTTTATTTGGAAATATAGTCTTTATAGATGTTATTAAGATGAGGTCACACTGGATTAGGGTGGGCCTAAGAAAGCACAGACTCAGAAACACACAGGGAGAATGCCATCTGATGACAGAGGCAAAAACTAGAATAATGTATTTTTAAGATAGTAAATGTCAAGGGGTGCTGGCAAACACCAGAAACTAGGAAGAGGCAAGGAAGAATCTTTCCCTAGAGCTATGAGAAAGAGCATGGTCCTGCTAACACCTTGATTTTTAACTTCTGCCTCCAGAACTGTGAGAAAATTTATTGTTTTAAGCCCTCCTTAGTTTGTGGTACTTGTTATAGCATGCCTAATAAACGGATACAGAGACTTTAATACCCTACTTTCAAAAATGGATAGAACAATCAGACAGAAGACCAATAAGGAGATAGAATGCAGACATGAACAACACTGCAAAACAATTAAAACCAAGAGACACATATAGAACACTCCACCCAGCAACATACACACTCCTCCCAACCATATATGGAATAGTTTCCAAGACAGACCATATATTAGGCCACAAAACAAGTCTTAATGAATTTTAAAAGATTAAAGTCATCAAAGTATCTTTTCCAGTTATAATGGACTGTAACTAGAAATCAATACCAGAAGGAAAATTGGAAAATTCACAAATATGTGCAAATTAAACAATTAAAATCACAACAGAAATTAGAAAATACTTAGAAATGAATGAAACACAAAATAACCAAAATGTATGGGATACAGTGAAAGCAGTGCTCACAAAGAATTTATAGCTGTAAATGCCTATGTTAAAAAAAAAGATCTCAACTCAATAACTTACCATTACACCTTAAGGAACTAGAAAAAGAGCAAACTAAACCCAAAGCTAGCAAAAGGAAGGAAATATTAAAGATCAGAGCAGAGATAATTGAAATAAGAACAAAGAAAATAATGGAGAAAATCAACAAAAACAGAAGTTGATCCTTTACAAAAATCAATAAAATTGGCAAATCTTTAGCTAAATTGAGGAAAAAAGGGAAGACTCAAATTAGTAAAATCTCAAATTATAGAAATGAAAGGACATTGCTACCAATTTTACAGAAATAAAAAGTACTATAAGACAATAATATGAACAGTAAATACCAACAAATTGTATAACTTAGATAAAATAGATTAATACTTAGAAATCAACCAAAACTGACTCAGGAAAAAATAGAAAATCTGAATAGACCTACAACTAGTAAGTAGATTGAATCAGCAACCAAAAGACCTCCCAACAAAGAAAATCTGGTATCAGATGGCTTCACTGGTGAATTCTTCCAAAAATTCAAAGTAGAATTAACACCTATCCTTCACAAAGTTTTTCCAAAAATTTTAATATGAGGGAACCACTCGCTAAGTCATTTTCTGAGGCCAGTGTCACCCTACTATCAAAGCCAAACAACAACACTACAAGAAAAAAAAAACTATAAGCCAATATCATTTATGATTACTGATGTATAAGTCCTCAACAAAATACTAGCAAATTGAATTCAGCAGCATATTAAATGGATTATATACCATGACCAAATGGTATTTATTCCCAGAATACTAGGGTAGTTCAATATACAAAAGTCAATTAATGTAGTATACCACATTAATAAAATGAAGGGAAAAAACCCACACGATCATATCAATCGATGCAGAAATGAAGCATTTCACAAAATTCATGATAAAAGCACTAAACAAACTAGAAATAAAAGGGAACTTTCTCAACTTGATAAAGACCATTCATGAAAAACCTACAGCTAACATCATGTTCAATGGTGAAAGACTAAAGCTTTTCCCCTAACATCAGGAACATGCCAAGGATGCTAACTTTTGCCACTTCTATTCAACATAGTCCTGGAAGTTCTACCAGGCCAATTAGTCAAGAAAAAAATAAAAGGTATCAAAATTGGAAAGGAGGAAACAAATATACCTTCATTTGCAGATTACATGATCTTATATGTTAAAAGACTCCACACACAGAAAGGGGAACCCTCCTACACTGCTGTTTGGAATGTAAATTAGTTCAACCATTGTGCAAAGCAGTATGGAGGTTCCTCAAAATGCTCAAAATAGAAATACCATTTGACCCAGGAATTCCACTTACAGGAATTTACCCTAAGAATGTAGCAGCCAGTCTGAAAAAGACAGATGCACCCCTATGTTTATCACAGCACTATTTACAATAGCCAAGAAATGGAAACAACCTAAATGTCCATCAGTAGATGAATGGATAAAGAAGATGTGGTACATATACACAATGGAATATTATACAGCCATAAGAAGAAAACAAATCCTACCATTTGCAACAACATGGATAGAGCTAGAGGGTATTGTGCTCAGTGAAATAAGCCAGGTGGAGAAAGACAAGTACCAAATGATTTCACCCATATGTGGAGTATAAGAACAAAGAAAAACTGAAGGAACAAAACAGCAGCAGAATCACAGTACCAAAGAATGGAGTAACAGTTACCAAAGGGAAAGGGACTGGGGAGGATGGGTGGGAAGGGAGGGATAAGGGCAGGGAAAAAGAAAGGGGGCATTACAATTAGCATGTATAGTGTTGGGGGTGGTATGGGGAGGGCTGTGCAACACAGAGAAGACAGGTGTTGATTATACAGCATCTTGCTACGCTGATGGAAAGTGACTGTAGTGGGGTGGGTTGGGGGGACTTGGTGAGGGGAGGAGCCTGGTAAACATAGTGTTCTTCATGTAATTGTTGATTAATGATACCAAAATTAAAAAATAAATAAGTACATAAATAAAAGACTCCACACAAAAAAACATTCTACAACTAATAAATGAATTCAGCAAAGTTGCAGAATATATAATCAACATACAAAACCAGTTTCATTTTGACACACAAGCAACAATCTGAAGAGAATATTAAGAAAACAATTAGGGGTGGAGCCAGGATGGCGGCGTGAGTAGAGCAGTGGAAATCTCCTCCCAAAAAAACACATAGAGCTATGAAAATATAACAAAGAAAAATCTTCCTAAAATAGAGACCACAGGACACAGGACAACATCCAGACCACATCCACACCTGCAAGAACCCAGTGCCTTGCGAAGGGGGTAAGATACAAGTCCCGGCCCGGCGGGACCCGAGTGCCCCTCCCCCCGGCTCCCGGTGGGTGGAAAGAAACCGGAGCGGTTTTTTTTTTGTGAGTGCTTTTTGGAAGCCTTAAAGGGACGGGCCCCCGTTGCTAGGGAGGCAGGGTGGCAGGACCGGTGAGCAGGTGCCTGGGACCGGTGCCTGAGGACAAAGAATATCCCGCGTTTCTCCCTGCAGGACCGGCGGGCGGGTGCCTGAGTCCGGCGCCTGAGGACGGAGGAAATCGCGCGTTTTTCCCCTTTTTTTTTTCTCTTTTTGGCGAGTGCTTTTTGGAAGCCTAAAAGGGACAGGGACCCCGGTGTTAGGGAGGCAGGGCGGCGGGACTGGTGAGCGGGTGCCTGGGACCGGCACCTGAGGACAAAGAATATCCCGCGTTTTTCCCTGTGGGACCGGTGGGTGGGTGCCTGAGACCGGCACCTGAGGACGGAAGAAATCGCGCGTTTTTCCCCTTTTTTTTCTCTCTTTTTGCCGAGTGCTTTTTGGAAGCCTTGAAGGGACAGGGACCCCGGTGCTAGGGAGGCAGGGCGGCGGGACTGGTGAGCGGGTGCGTGGGACCAGTGCCTGAGGACAAAGAATATTGAGCGTTCCTTCCCTGCGGGACCGGTGGGTGGGTGCTTTTTGGAAGCCTTGAAAGGACAGGGACCCTGGTGCTAGGGAGACAGGGCAGCAGGACCAGTGAGCGGGTGCCTGGGACCGGCACCTGAGGAAAAAAAAAAAAATCGCGTGTTTTTTCTTTTTTTTTTCCTTTCTGTTCCCTCTCTCATTGTTGCTGTTGTTGTTTTGGTTTGGAGAGTGCTTTTTGGAAATCTTAAAGGGGCAGGACAGGTCACTTAGACCAGAAGCAGGGAATCTGGGGATCTCTGGGCACTCTAACCCCCTGGGCAGCAGGGAGCACAGAGGCCCCTTACGGAGATAAATAGTCTCCTGGCTGCTCCCCCTCTAACGGGGCTCCACCATTTTGGAGGAACAGCCCCAGCCAGGCCAAGCCCACAGCAACAGTGGAGATAAACCCCAAAGCAACTGGG